TTCCGGTCACACATTACTCTCCATAACCCTCTAGTTCCGTCACCTCTGGATCTTTGTATTGACGGGTAAATTGAATTATCGCCTTGTGAATTGAAAATAATAGTTTATGTAAAAAGATGCAAACAAATCTGATCCTTTAATGGCACATACTCTATTATTATTATCAGTATTGCAGTACAGTTGCATAGCAATGTATATAGTAAACATGCCCGTTGACCTTTAGATCGATACATACTTCAGAAACATTTTGGTTCCTCGATTCTCCAATATTATTGTGATACAAAGGTCAGTCACTATTAGACGATCAAATACAAAATTGTAAATGCAGTTTATTGCGAAATGCTAAACGTGACGTTTTTAGCTGATTTTGTTTTGTGGGGATTTTGATTTAATTGTCCGTTGTTTTCAGTATTTGACTCAGTTTTCTTTTCCGAGCTTCTATCATCATCCATCCTTTCATCAATATTATTATTACTATTGTTATTATTATCACTATTAATATTAATACTACTACTATTAAGTATCCCTAATATACCATCAGGTACATATGCCTCTTCTTCTTTTCTATCTTTGCCGTTTTCTTTATCCTTCGATATTTCTTTTATTTTATTTACTTCTATTTTCCCTCTTCCCTCTACTTCATCTTGTTCTTCCTCTTCGTATACTATTTCTTCTTTAAATTTTCCTAACTTTGCCTTAAAGCCTTGAGTTGAATATTGGTGTAATCCCATAAGATAGCGCGTATCGTCGCTGTGCGTATGTACAGTGACAACGCCATGAACCTCTTGGTCAGCGGGTGTTTGAGTGACGCTATCTGGAATGTGTTCCTCCTTCAGCTTTTTGAAATCATCAACCTCTTCTTCAAATATTGAAGCGTGTTCAACAGTTTCGTCAGAGTTTGATGTTATTTCATTTTTAGAGATAGGTATGTTTTTATTGGTTTGCTTTTTTCCTGTGTTGATAAGGAAATCATCACCTTGGTCTTTAATAAAACTTTCGCTATTAACTTCCCGATTTCCCGAAGTGGTGATTGTTACAATATTTGAAGTTTTGCCACCATGGTTGCTAGATTGTTCCGTCTTACTTGTGCCTAGTTCTTGAAAATCAACGTCAGTGACCTCAAGGTCGTGCTTAATGAAACCAGGAATCTTTGGCTTTGATCTGCCTTTAGATTTCTCTTTTCGTTTATCCTTTTTGCCTGTAATTTCTAAGAATACGCTTGATTCTTTGATAGAGGTTGCTTTTAGTGACCCTAGTTTTCTTGGCATTTTTCGTAAAGGCAGTGGATACGGGAAAACTTCCGTTTCATTGGGAAACTTGTGATCAAATACCTGGAGTTGAATGAAAGTCTTCATAGGTGTCATTGTTTTATGTTGCTGCAGACTTTCAGCGTTCGTCTCTGTGGCGAAAAATGCCTTATCAGTGAAACATTTCTCTCTGTCATTTTGACTAGAAACGTGTAATTCTTTTTTGGTAGGTTTGTTACGTTTCATTGTTATATTTGGTATATGTCCAGATTGCAGTTTTAGGTCAATTACGCTCATTTCTTTTCGTACACCCCTATCCTCATGACTCAAACTTGGTAGCTCTTGTTTTTCGCTCCCTTGTAAATTATTGTCGGTTTTTCTTGCAGAGGAAAGTAGATCTTCATTCGTGTTAACATCATTTGACAACACATATCTTTTCTTCGTATCTGATATTCCGTTTGGTGGGTCCATTAGCGATAGCAAGAAAGTTTTTATGTGCTGTTTTTCTGATAGTACTGTTGTCTGATTCGGCGATGTTCCTATATCATTATTTCTATATTCAGTATTTGAAGTTGCACTTGTCTGCTGAATGTTAGGATTTTGTTCTGTGGCCCTGTTTGATTGCACATGAGCTTGTTCTTCACCAAGCGTTGTTAAAAGACTATTTCTGTTGTTTATCTTCTTAATGGTTTGTTTTGATTGCTGCTTTAAGTTATACACATGTCGCATTGCCACGGGACTCGACAGGGATAACTGGCTCAAAATACGATTTCTCGTCTGCAAACTACTCAAAGGAAAACTTTTATTGAGCAGATACTCTGGATGGGCCACTTTGATTGGCTTTTTTATTACACACAATTCTTTCATGTTCTCAGGACAGAGATTATTTTTATGCAGTTTATGAATCCAGTTTTCAACAAATTCAATTCTACGGTCTGTATCGTCTGCTGATTTTGATTTAATTTCTGGCAAAACAACTTTGTTGCCATGTTCGTCAAAGGTTACAATCTTCTGTCGGTGAGATGGTAAAGGACGTTTTGGTTTTGGTTTAGAGACTTTTCCAAGGTCGTTAACTGGCCGAAGAGTGTCTATATCGGATATCATGATATGATGAATACTATTGGCAGGTTTCTTCATAGTCAACTCTTTTGGAGATAGTTGGTGCCTTGGACTTTTGGAATTCCGGTATATTTCAATAGCTTTAAAGTCTGTTGGAGATGGAGTTGAATGTCGTGATTGAATATCTGTAGTTAAAGCCACTTCGCAATTTTTTTTGTCTTCGCTTTTTACATTTTCTGTTTCAAGTAATTCGTCTACTAACTGTTCGCGTGGAGGACTGTTATCATGACTGTTGGTTGTTGTGGACTGGTTGCGTGGTTTCTCAAGTTGTGCCTGCTGCATCAGGTTCACAAGCTCACGATGTGAATCAGCGAGATACCATTGGCGGGGATCCGTTAAATCCCGCATTATACTTTCATGAGACCGCGTAAGAATGTCACGAGGGCTTAACATCGCCTTGTTCACCGAATTATCAAGGTCCTGTCGCATCGACCTCTGTAGCGTCTGCGTATACTCATCCAGCGAATCCATGTTGGAAAAGAAGCTGCTATGCTTGTTTGGCTATTTGCCCGGTCAGGTAAATCTACACCTGAAGCCCTGTGAAAACGACAATAAGTAGTTATTAGAAGTGGCCTCTTGGCGCTAATGTCAACAAAAGCTTTAGAATTTGGAACTTAGCTCTGCTATTTCAATGCACAAAACAGAATCACTGTGAACGATCGCCGCATTCGTTGTTATGTTGAAACACACAACGTAAGTACCTAATGATCCAATATCGCTATAACAAGCACGCTAAATTTTGAGTGATTACCTATTCTTTATCGAGAATTAATTTGATTAAAATCGCCAAGATGACACACTGAATTCACGTGACTACACTCAGTCCTTGGATAATAATGAATGATGCACAGTATTATTGATAACATATCAGAAATTAGGCCCAAGATTAATTAATACTATATTCTGATTACATTTCCAAGACTTTTTTCTTACAAGGTCTCGTATCAATTCACTTTTTATTTGGGATCAGTTCAACACAGTAGGCCCTACTGTACACAAATACATTTCACCCAAGTACCGTAAAGCACAATTAAGTAGTATGCCTACAAACAATAATAAGTAATATAAAAATAAATTAATAAGTTAATAACAGAGATTTGTGCACATCAGCAATATAAGCCTACTTGCCGGTACATATGACACCTAGTTCCACTTCAAGTTAGAATCACATAACCCATCTAAAGCTCTATCCACACTATCAAATTTTCTCTGACAAAAAAATTTGACATGCCCATATATGGTAATGTTATGCCTATATATGGTCATGGTGTGATGTCATCATGCCTATATATGGGCATATCACACTTTTTTGTCACACAAAATTTGATAGTGTAGACAGAGCTTTAGACCCGGCACACATTATTTTGATACGGCTGTTGCAATTAACTGTTTCCGATTCTGGTTTTAAAACTGTAGGCCTACACTGGCTTCCGAAGGTATTCATAGAATATACCGTAGGTCATTATAGACATATACGTTATATACACATATTTACAATAATGTACAAGATTTGTAACTAACATTTCACTGGCATTGCATCTTCTTGGACGTCTTAATATTATCCCAAACGCATCTTTATAGCATACTTCAAAGATTTCGCGCCACACAATACGGCATATCCTTTGAAGATGTTCTAATTATATTTAGTATAATTATTATTTTAATTAATAGGTAAAATAATAGTTATGTTGTATTATATTGTAAATATAGCTAGACCTAGTTATAATTATGGTTATTGCTATATGATATATTTATATTATAGATTCAGATATAATTTCAGATATTTTATATAACATTTATTTAAATCGTCAAGTGAAAAGGTATGATATGAATAAACATGTATGTGTACAACGATTTTAGGAATCTAAAATTTGGAATTCTTGTCTCAAAATTATCCCTTAAATAGGTTTACAATTCCCATAATATAGAACGGCGTTATTTGCTTAAATCTCATTATATATAAGCCAAGATGTAAAACTTTTGATTTGTAGTTCGAACCGTAGTAAATTAGCTATACATTCAACCTGTAAAGGCCTACTGCTCTTTACGCCACTGTTAGACTGCTTTTAAAAAAAATTTACACTTACTGTAATACAATGACTACTGCTGCAACAGCGATATTGAAATTATAGGAATTACTTTATGTTTATATTATGTAGGCTAAGGTACAGCGCAGCCTGGCCTACTCACAATTGTTAACGGGTCAATCACATTATCAAATCTTTCATATAACGTCAGCCAAATGATCATTATAAAAAAAACTAAAGTATTATACGGTACCATACCTCTTAATAATGCAACCATCCGTCGAAGAATTATCTACATTTGAATGTTTCTTTAGCATGTACTCAAACGTTCGCGTGCACCACAGGCCGGCTTGACTTAGCTGAATTGCAGACAAACTTACTTTACATTGATATAATAATAGATAGTTAGATTAGGCCTATATTGAAGATATTTAGTGATGTAATTCCAACGTTCCTGCGTTGACATCGTTACCGAGGTTTATATTTGTTCACTAAATACAGTAGTCACAACAATAAACTACAGATAACTCATAATGGTTGATTCCATTTAGAGATCGGGTAATCGGCACACTTTATCATTGATATCACTATATTTGAAATTTGTTGACTGTATTTGAATTTTGTTGATACGTAATTACCTACAGATTAACTAACCTTCACCTATTCGATTGGTAGTGTTTCCAAGGAAACGCTTTTAACTAATGTATATCCATCATACCATCAACTATTAATGACCTGAACTTCATGCTTTTAATACCTAAGAAAATAGAGGCTGATCAGAGAAGTTTGTATGCTTATGTAAATGATAAAAGCAGTCTTAAATCTTCAATCATAACTGCAGTAAACTGTTGTTATTTCTTCCTCTCCAACTTATAATTGACTGTACCACTACTCCTCTGCTGAACAGGGGTGGCGCCAGGGCTTGCCCGACGGGGTTTCTGAGGTCCCCGATTGGGGCAGATTTCCCCGACGAGAACAAAGTGGGCGCTTAAAATGTTCCGAACGTGGTCCAGGGGACGAAGCCCCCGAAAACTTTGACAATTTTCCGAAGGCTTATTTAAGAGATTTTAGAGTCTACTAATAGGCCTATGTAGAAAATACATATATTTTTTTTCTCCCTGACGAATTGTGGTTTTTCTCCCAGACGGGGTCGTGACCCCCCGGGCCCTGGCCACCGCCGCTCCCCGCTGGCGCCACCCCTGCTGCTAAATATTATATTTTGTATGACAGACTGCCATTTTAAAACGTAATGGTCTAATTGAGACCGTACATGGACAATAATAATAACTATAATGCTGTGTCAATAAACTAATTTGATCTTTAATTATCACAACAAAAATAGTGTCAAAACAAACTAGGTTACAGAAATGTACAATATTAATTAGAACGGACAATGACTGACAAAAACAGTCTTTAGATGTTTATTTAATATTCTATCACAATATATATTCTATAGACGTCCTTTAAATAGCGCTGAAGCAATGGCATTCCAAATCCTATATGTATATAGCCCCATGGCAACCGAGGCTTATATCTACATACATAAATAACATTTCATTTGTTATATTCTTTTCTGTTGTGTATTCACGATACTGTAGACGAAGTGAACTCATGAAACATGTAAGTCGCAACTTATGTACTGATAATCTAATACTGCAATAATACGAAATGTTGTTTGCCCCTACCTGATTTGTTGTAAGTACTTGCTTAGTACATTCCGAAATACTTGCGAAAAATGTTGCAAGTGATTAGGGTGGAAAGCGAACCCACGACATCCAGGTAACTAGCCTGATGTCTTAACCACTAGACTACCGACCTTTTGCTTGGTGGCTAGTGAAGAAACCGATCCCCAAGTAACAGCGGGTACTGCAAGTAGAAGCGGGTACTGCAAATACTACTACTAATAATAATTATTAAATTAGGAATCAGGATTTTGCCCTATTGGACGTGTTATCGTACTGAATAAATACATTCCCATAATACTTGCGATACAAATCTCTGATGGGCATCGTACTGAGAATTTAGTACGATAAAGCCGGGCAAATCACTGCGCACGACGGTAGTCGGCCGAGGCGATTGTATGTAGAACGCAACGATACGACGAGCGCGCAGTTTGTTTTTAATGACGATCCGTTCAGACTGCCACCGACAATCAGCAGACGAGTCGCGTCGTCTGGCGTTCACATGGAACGGAGTTGGGGTCGTCGTACGACGCAGTGAGTGCCTAGCTTAACACATCAAGTATCGTAGGTAGGGCAAAATCATCATTCCTATTACTAATCTCCTGACGCAAACACCATCAGAATTGATAATAATTTTGATAAAAATTATTATAATAATGATGGTGGTATATGATGATAACGACGACGATAATTTATGGTATTGGTAGAATATATACGTAAACCATTAATATTCATAGAAACGGTAATGTATGTTGGTTAATATTCACCTGACGGCGTCCTTGTAAACATATTCTTCAAATTCTGGCGCCCTCTCTAGTGTTGTAATGTGAACGTATATTGAAAAGTCATTGGTCACAGCCTGCGGTAAGGGTAACAGGGGGTGACTCAGAGTACGACCTGGAATTAAATATGTTATTAATTTATCGGTAAGACAATTCAGACACTTAGAGCGAGGCACCATCATGATCGTGTAAGTACAGTAACATCATCATTTGAACACTATTCCCCTGCCCTGTCCTTCCCATTGTCACATATATCGCGAACTTCACGGAAGATCGAACCATTTCCATCGGCCTAGATAATAGGCCTACCATGCTACACCTAATTGACCTGTCTCTTATACACATCTAGATGTGTATAAGAGACAGCTGAAACGGTATGCAAATGTACGGTAAACGGAATACAATAGTCTCCTGGTAGTGAGTATTAACTCCCATTCGTTACACATTTTAGACTTATGCGCATGAATTTTCGAGTTAACTAATATATGATTTTTTGTTAGTTAATAAAATCAGGTGAATTAGCCTTAACGTTTTTAAATTAAATTTCATTTTATGAATTGATTAAGAAAAAGATCTGCGTCGAATGGGTAAAAATGATGAACATAAGACAGCGTTTATGACTAACGTCCAATGTCTTATGAAATCTACTCTAGAGCCGATCTGCAGTCCAGTTTCTGTCTCTTATACACATCTAGATGTGTATAAGAGACTAGTAATAAACAGTAAAAATAAAAAATTAGAACTTTTGAGACTAGTTGAGATTTTATTATTAAGATTTCGTATACACTTCTTCAGGTGAATGTACAGGATGGCAAAAGAGAATAAATAAAACGATTGAGGGCTCAGCCGTGTTTTTACTGACAAAGGTCAAAGGTTCTTTCTCTGTCTCGAGTTGATTTCTCCAAGTATACTTCAATAAATAGGGGAAGTATACGAATGCTACGTTTAATTCGGCAGTGGCGGATCGGGAATATGAATTAAAAGAATTTGAAATAACTTAAAGCATGGAGAACAATAAAGGCAATTTCAGTATCATTAAAGGATATAAAGCCAAATAAAATTAATTGCTAGTTTCACGCTCCCCGCCCACATTAAATTTTGGAGCCTCATGAAAAAAACTAACCATTTGCAAATTTAAAAAAAAAAACTTGTTTTTTCCATGGACAACTATCTGAAAGAATGATGTCAAGCCTAAAAGAAGATGTGGGAACATATATGGCATAAACACATTACAAAGATTCGTTTTACATCTTTAAAAAAGAAAAAAATTTTTTTTTACTATTTACCAGCCTGTTTACCATTAGTATATAGGATAGTGAAAACCAAATAGGAAATACCCTCACAAAACAATAATTTCAAATCCCTGACGTGAAACTAACAATCAATTTTATTTGACCTAAGTATGTTGCGTGACTATCATACAATCAACTTTTATTCACACACTTCGGCCGCCAAGAGCCCTTAGGCACTACGCCACTGTTGAATGAAAATTCATTTTAATATTTTTTAATGTTTGTTTCACTAAATCGTCAATTTCGTAGTTCTCTCTTACAATTTGCAGAATAATCTACATGTCTGTAGACCTACTGATATTAACATATGCATACTTTTTAAGTGGTTATGTAAATTAAACGGTAAATCCAATACCGAGTGCATGTCAAACTGGTAGGCTATATGTTTTTCTGAGCCGTCATGTGTAACAAGCCATAATCCAGACTTTCTTATAAGATTAAGGTAGGCCTGTCTAGTTTTTATATTGTGTCTATATCTATACTCTGTTTGAGATATGAATATATTTTTCATGTTCTGATGATGTGGAGGTTGTAAACAGAAGTGTTTTAGAGTGTTATTCTGACGACAAAAGGAAATCAACATTAGCGCCCTCTGTTAAGTAGGCCTATTCGTTCAGTTTGCTGTGTACCAGGGAGCAGTCATTTATTTATTTTTAATCTTTAGACAAGAAACAACAAAAAAAAAGGTTAAACCGGGGGCGCCGGGGAAAAGCAAAAGTTAAAACGTGATGTTGTTAACCAAGCCCATGCCAACAATATTATATGACTGCTTTCTGGCAGTAATAACTTTGGGATGCATTTAATTGTAACGTACTTACTTTGACGTTGTGACGTTGAAGAGATGATAAAAGTACGTTGAAGAGATGATAAAAGTACAGGTGATCAGTTTAAAAAAAATAAAAAATTCTCATTTTTACTTCTTTGATGTTTTCACGTTTAATTGATATATATACAGGGCCTAGTTCACTATTTTTTTGAGATCACAGCTGTTTTTACCAAAAGAAAGATTTGATGTTTATAATACACACTTTTTATAAGAACTTATGAAATTTTTCCCAGCCTCATTAGTGTTCTTATTTTCTGCCTATATCAGTCTCGAAATGTTCTTAGTTTAATCTTATTTTACACACTTTTCAGAGGTATTATTGTACAGCAGTATATTATTATTGTACTGTATTAAAAGTTATTAATAGTCACACCAACTGCACATAATGGGGTACAGATAAGACTATAAGGATTTTATTTGGTTTTTTTTTATATATTTGTTTTTCTAGTTTTTAAAAAAATAAAACTTCATTTTGTTCTTATTTTTTAGCCAATTTCAGCGTCAGTGTTCTAATAAAAAAATTGTAGGCCTACTTGTATCTTATTTTATCCTATTATTATTTCTAACTGGGACAAAATGAAGATAAATCTCAAATGTGAAATGCAAAATCTGGAATGAATGCAACCTTACTTTTAATAAAACAGAATAATCTCTTAATGAGTTTTTACTTCCTCATTTTATACTTGACAAGAATAACTTTTCTAAGTTCTTGGTGGGCCTACTGGTTTCGTCAAATAAGGAATTAACTGAAGGTTCGGTGAGAGGGTGGATTTTATTATATATCATTCTGTTATAGGATTAACGGGTGTTGTAGGTCGGAGGGCTGCCTTAAAATTAATTTCATCATGTTTGGAAATAGTAGGCTGCTTAAGCTCATTCTAGGCTTTTATTGTGTAAATAGGCCTATGTTCAATGAATCGCATTCGCATACACACTTTATATCGTGACTTCATTGTATTAATTGGTCATTACCAAATAAGGTCTATGCAATTCCGAACCAAATTTGCAGTGTCGTAATAAAGAGGTTCAGAGCAAGGACTTTTAGCTGTACAGTTAAGTCGTCCTTGCTCAGCTCAGAGTCCCCTAGCTGAGCCTACATCTGGCCCTTCTACTGGGGCTGGGAAGTAAGGGAGCGTAGGATCTCAATTCATTAGGACTACGGGGAGAACACGCAACCTCTCCATCGCTTGACATTTTTAGGGACGTACTTTGATGGCTATAGTTTACACGTTCTGCTACTTAGGGATCCCTGATCGGTCAATTTTGGGCCCATGGTCCTGCAAAAATATAATTCCCATTAATATCGAGCACTTAAAGCCTTACCCCTGCCAGTGAAAGCTCATGTGTTACGTCACTGTAAATTCAATGACCATACATTATTAAATAAGGGCCACTCTTGTATAAAGGCCACTGGGTACTGACGATTGATCACTGCATCAATTATTTTTTCGCTAAGCGCCGCCCTTAAATAAGTGCGCAGCGCAGCGCATTCTGATTTGAATGCGTCCCAGCGCTTAGTCATGAGAGGTTGGTTATACTGAAACGGTATGCAAATGTACGGTAAACGGAATACAATAGTCTCCTGGTAGTGAGTATTAACTCCCATTCGTTACACATTTTAGACTTATGCGCATGAATTTTCGAGTTAACTAATATATGATTTTTTGTTAGTTAATAAAATCAGGTGAATTAGCCTTAACGTTTTTAAATTAAATTTCATTTTATGAATTGATTAAGAAAAAGATCTGCGTCGAATGGGTAAAAATGATGAACATAAGACAGCGTTTATGACTAACGTCCAATGTCTTATGAAATCTACTCTAGAGCCGATCTGCAGTCCAGTTTACCATTGAAACGGAATGACAGACGCGATGGATTTTATTATCCTCATAAATTATTCAATGTAATGTTTTCAAAATAAACTGTTAATCTTCAGTTTGAAAAAAAATTAACTTTCAAAAAGCACGGTAGTCTCTTTTGTGAGATTACACATTAAGATAAGATGTTGATCAATGTTTTTTAAGTAACGAAGTTCCAACTATACTTTGTTCGTATCACAGTTCAATTAGGCCTACTAACTCAATGTGACCATAATAATAGGTCTAAAATAATGTTCATTTCGTTGATTGTGCTTTCATAAATACTTTCAGCTAATAAAGTTAAAATGAAAAACTGTCAATATATAGCCTAACAAAATAATTACGAATTGCGTTAGAGTTGCGTGGGTTTGTCTACGACATTTCAGGTAGAAAAACATGAATCTTCGCCTTATTCTCCTTGGAATCACTTACAGTCATTGAGTTTACAAAAGCGCTGTCCGGCTCGTCACTATAGTATTGCCAGCTGATTGGAGTGTTTGCCGGTGTAAACGGCTCTTCCGCCTCAACAGAGAAATCTGGAACTTGCTCAAGATGTTCAGGGATCTCGTCTTCTAAATTGGTCATTACATCTTTTTTGGCGTCCAAGTTGTTCATTGAAGCCTTTTTGGTTTCTAAGTCGATCATCAAAGAATTTTCCCTAGTCGTCCTTCCTGTTTTCATATGCAGCCGTGCGACGTTATGAGATCGAGTTCTTGAGTTTAGGAGATCTAGCCTAGGTAGGCCGGGTGCTCCGCCTTGTGGCAGCGGCGGAATTCGTTTCCGACCACAGTGCCAATTGTTCAAAGTACACTCATCCGGTTGTATTAATCCTCTTTTAAAGGCGATCGTCGCAGCAGTACGGGGACTTGTTCTACCGGGGGAATATTCTCCCCAAAATGAATGGGGCTCTGGTAGATGGGAGGCCATCTCATTGAAAAGGAGTGGGACGCAATGAGGGGTAGCATGCTTATGAATCGAAGCTTTTCCTTCTTCCCCTACGTTTTTTGTTTGTTGCGTTTTCAAAAGTATATCCTTATCCAAAGAACCTTTTATTGTTTTGTTAAAATATTTTGTTTGCGAGTTCAAGATATTCAGACGATGTTTCTGTTGTGCTACACGATCGTTCCATAAGGACGAATTTGTAACCGAATATGAGGAAACCGTCCTTGGATATTTGAGGTCATTGTCTAAATTGATTCGAGATTCGTAAAGTTTATGAGCTGTCTTAGATTTCGTTATCATAGTAAATCCTTGATTCGAGCCGCTCTGTGGATTCTGATGCCTCGTGCTTCCTTCTCTCGCAGTTTTAAACGTTGTAACTGATGGCGTAGGTGTTCGCTTTATTTTGGTAGGTTTCATGTTAAATTTAATTTGAATCTTTCCTTTATGTGAATCTCGAGTACATGTGTCTCGATCGTCCAACTTCTTGTTCACCATCTTCATGACGTCAAACATGTCCAGTTTATCGGGATCGTGTAAGCTATGTTCACTTTCCATGTTTCTTTCTTCATGTTGTCGCAGAGAGTCCTCTGGAGGCGTCAATGACGTTTTCGATATTCCTGGGTCTTGTATTTGGTCGATTTCTATAGGATCATTCATGATCCAACTGTCACCTGATTCCTCGTACACCGATGTCTGTCTCATTTGGCTTGTTGTACTGTCCATATTTGCATCATGTTTATTACTCGTCACTAAAAATCCGTTATCTATCGCTTCATTCTTCGTTGATTTTAAATTTAGACTTAAACTCATTCTGTTATGTGTCTGCATATGTCGTACACCTGACGTGCTTTGTAGATCTCTGCGAGTGATGGCTAGCACCGGGTACTGTCGTCCCGTCGGGTTTCTTAACAGTCTCTGTGAAACTGGTGTAAGTCTAGCATTCAGTTGCTCGATGACGCAAGATTTACATCCTCCTCCGCTTGTAATTGGCTGATGGATGTTGGTAATTTGCGTAGCGGTATGATTCGATGGAGTTTTTAAAGTAAAGCACGTTGACATATTGTTATTCTGAAAAACAATAAAAAATAATATTTTAAATTGTGATAATTTATCTCAGAAAATGCAAATTAATTTGAAATTTATTTTTATCTTGATGTTTTAAGAAGGCCAATTTTGGTAGTCTGAAGAATAAACCTGTTAATTTTGTATACGACTCCAATAGGTTTATCCGTGATTGTCAATCACAAGAGGCCTAGTTAAAACTGCACTGGCGTCCCATAGGAGGTCTATGGCATTTAGAAAAGATTTTTATCTTCTGATATAATGCCATGTACTGTAACACAAGAATCAAGCCACGTGCTAAAAGTGTAAAAATATTCTAGGCCTAACTTCTTCATTTTTACACTTTCAGTACTTTATTGTGAATATCTTTCTAAATTGTAAATCTTAATTTCTATTACGGGATAAAAAAAAAACTTATTTTTTTATTGTCCTAAGTCCTAATTCTTATAGCACAAACATAAGACCTCGGTTATTCAGATCAATCAAATTAATACACTGTCACTACGCTTGGCTCTGTGTTTTGTTTGCCAACATTGTTTGCCATGCATATATACTTTCTAAATTGGGTCTAATAAATATACATGTTATCTTAAGAGCGTAAGGAATGATACTTTATTTACGAGATGTGCTTCTCGACAATGCTACGCCATTTCTAATGCTGGTATAGGCTATTAAAGGCCTTCAATTATTGCGGTATAAAATATGGTCCAATATACCACACACTCGGAAACGAAGCTGTCTGTTTCTATCACGAAATGGAAAAAAAACCCAATAACTAATAACTGTCTCTTATACACATCTAGATGTGTATAAGAGACAGGTGTACGATATTGTTTTGATATTGATCAGTGTCTGATTGCAGATTGATCCATATGAACAATATACGTGTATATAACACAAATAACAGAAATACTGTGGCAGCACTCATGTTTGTTGAATGAAATGGTCTGTGTGTGGTTTTTGAATTTGTCCAAAAACGAAAACAATTTGAAATATTGAATAACTTAGGCTGCATGCTTGGTAAAAAAACTGTATGATTAAGATGAGTTGGGATTAGTAACATCAAATTGTGACTAATCTACCTCCTTGGACAGATACATCACGTGACTGTAGAAATGTGGTTTACTGTAGTTTATTGCTTTCTTGGCACTACGTATTCCTCTAGAATGCTAGAACGAATAATGTGGATGTTTATCCCTCACTGAGTCCAAAATTGTATTGCCCGTCTTCGATCCTTTCAAACAGCAGGGATTAAAATGAAAGAGATCTCTTGACGTAAGGGGAAACAATAGGTGGTCGAGATTGCAGCAATTATAAGGCAAGTCTAGGCATTAGTAATAAGCTACATTCATGTTCTGTAAACTACAATTAAAGTAAGTCGTGATATCACCTGTGGGCCAGCACAAGAAATCAATGAAGGCTTAGAATCATAAAGTATCAGCCTAGCTATTAAAATTGTGATTGGGATTGTGATGGGGATTACTGTTCTTATTTGGGATATTAGCGTGTTATACGTACTTTTCCATCAGTTTTCATCGATTACAACATTCATAAACGTTGGGGTTGGGTTATGTCAAGTGACGTTATATTGTAAGTGATGTACGCCGTACTTATGGATCTACAAAAAAAACCCCCAAAAAACAAAACAAAAAAATCATTTTCAGTACCAAACGTTCATCGTTATTAGAACGTAAGGTTGTTAGCTGGGCAGCCATAACGAGGAGCTCTCCCTGACGGGGCCCTACGATTTACAACCAAACTCTACACAGTGTTTTACAACCAATCACACAACATCAAAATCTACTTGCTATGATAGACTGTAATTTACAACCTTGCACACGATATGGAACTCTATGTGCTACGATTCTTCAACCAAACACATCGAAATCTACGCACTGTAGTACAACCGATATCAAACTAATGATGTTTGTATGTATGATGATAGGCATCATTAACGCGCGCAGGATTATTATGAATACATGAATAGGCCTATGCACGTTAATATTATACCATCTGCCGTTTCCCTAAGAATATCGTCAGTAAGGACGTTACCAATATCACCGTATTTTTTTTCTTGGCCTTTATCGAATTGATTCTAATATAAGAGATGTACTTGACCTTCTGTAGTGATGTAGCTTAATAGCTGAAAGCCTATTAAAGTATAAATACATTGCTGTGAGGATGAGTGTGCTGCTTATCAAGGTCTGTACATAGTATCTGTGCTACAATGGCCATTATGGGTCTACGTAAACATCTTTGAATTTATTTTTATTTAGTAAACATAACAATTCTCTCAACGAAGCGCATTTCGACGAATGAATGTAATTGCACTTCCTTTTAGCAATTGCATTGCACTTTATTTGAGTGAGAATCAGCGCCTGTGTCGTGAGTTTCTTTCCTCTGGTGGCGCTGTATAAATCTATCTCATTAATAGGCCTATTAATATTATCATTTCTTGGTCTATAAATTTGAATTAAAAGAAGAGAAAAGAACGGCCAGTGTTTGTAATAAAAAATAATTTAGGTAGCATTCAAAATAATACGTTTTAGTATTTTAGAAAAGAAAGTAAGGTCTAAAGACACTTGTCTGTATTTGCTAAATGATTGTATACTGTCTTTTTTATTTTATTATTTAAAACCTTTGCAATTATTAGGGTATCTAGTACTATTCCATTACAAGAAACACGGTGGAATTTACAGGGTTTGATTTTTTGTCATCGTATAACGGAGAGTTTTATTCAGTGCTGAAATGGAAGCCCAAACTATGTATGACTCTCAAGATTATTAGGGCCCCCTTACGATTACATTACTAGAAAGATAAAATTACTCCATGGAAAAGAGTTCCACTTGCAACTTCATTAATCGGTTCTGACAATTAGTTGGCTCTTGTTTGGCCCTTTTCTCAGCCAAAACCAACCCCACCTTTAAAAAATCGGGTAAGCCCTTAAACATTAATTTAAAACATGAAATTGCTTACTTACCAGTTTATATGTGGGTCTGTTAATTTTATTGTAAATTGAAAGTTCAAGTTTCAATGATAACAGTTCAAACATTTTCTTGTTGGAGTGTATAAGTTCAAAACCGATATACTGTAGGCCTATTACACATAACGTCTTCTGAATGAATGATTGACTGACTCACTGACCAACTGACTAACTGACTGACTGACTGGTATTACTTCATATAGGCCTGGTGTGTTGGCGTTACACCATTCAATTATACCAGAATACGAATTGTAACCGTGAGGATTATCCTGGCTTCGGCAGTGATTGAAGCCCCGAATATGTGGGTTAGAAAGCGGGTGCCACGATTCACCAATCTACAGCGTCCCCTCAAAATTATGCGGCGGCAGGCGAACAAATTGAAATTCTCGCGAAAATAAGTAGAATGATGAATTATATTACCTTTTATGCAGTATACGATCCAACTTTACTATTTTTTGGTGATTTTAATTATGCTTCCAACAATAGTTTTTGGATATCTTCGCCTAAACCAATATTCCTAATGCCAGACACGAGGATTATTCAGAGGTAGGCTTGTGTCCGCTACGCTAGTGTCATCATCTCTCGATGAAATCACGGTACTACAGTAAGTTTTGTTTACCAGGACAGTATATTAGTACATGTTGCTTTCGTAGTGATTACGTTGCCAGGTCTGGAAATGACGCTTCTTAGTGAAAGGATAGATGGAAATGATTTCTCATTGTCATTGATCTGTGTATGTGTGGATCTCATCGAATAACAAAAAGTAATCTTAACATATATGATTGATAGCGGACAGAGAAAGGAAATTTCATAATTCTTTTCACAGAGCCTTCAAATCTTGGCTTCATTGGATAAAAAATAATAATTCATATAAAATTGTAGCCGGAGAGAAATTGTTGATCAACTGTCATATCAGGAAAGATTGATTTGAAGAAATTGAAATATGGGTGATATAATCTACACAATTCTATATGCAGTGGCTGTTTTAACTTCCAAAACATATTATCTGAGCACAAATGCTGTCATGTTTTTAAACACAACGTAACTACTAATATGCTACCTTAACTATATTTCATGCCACATGTGAATATGGATGGATCTACTCCCTAAAACGTGTTTGTACATGCCCTATGCATAATAACTTGTGCAATGGTGGTCAAGTTTCTAAGGCCCTATGCATACTTTAAATATGGTGGTCAGGTTTCTACTATGCATAACTTTATTGCTGTGGTGGTCAGGTTTCCTGTACTTAAGTCAAACACCTGTTTACATGGGATACATTACTGTTTTGACCAAACGATATGGTAATTCACTTACGACGGCACGTAGCCTAATTCTACCAAAACTTACCTCGATTCTTTCATAGTGAATGTTCGTTGAAGGTTGTAGCATATACCGCTGTGATTGAACCGAAACGTTGAACGTCAACGAAAGATAACAAATTATGATTCAACAAGAATTTATTTAGTGTTCGAGTACACTTGAACGTCCAAAGTGAAGATAACAGAAGAATGATAACAATTTTCAAACAAACATTAGTACACAATATTAGGCCTATATATACAGAGCCAAGAGGTTGCACACGTCAGAAAGATAAATTGTATGGTGAATGATGTTGTTAGCCTTTATTGATCGATTTGAGTGATGAATTGAAAAGTTACAGATTTTTGTTACAAAAACAATTATTCATGGAGCATAGTATGCAGAATTTATTACAAACCATTACTAATGTATACTGTGAGTTACCGTATTTATTTAATATTTCAACCGAATTCCTAAGGCTCAGAAAAGAATCAATCCATAGCGTAGAGCACATTCTTTGGATCAACAAATATATACTAAGCTATACTTTACGTTTAGATACATCTAACGTACTTGAGAACTTATTTAATAACCATCACAAACTTTGAAAGAAAAGAAAAACCAAAGAACGTAAAGAACTCGAAACAATCCGTCAAGAAAGATCGAGCGTTGGGAATACAGTACCGTACCTCTCCATCGCAAGAAATCGATTAAATAATTACGGTATTTATTTCCAAACATCGATAGCCAGGATGAACAACCTGTCCTGGTATAGGCTATTAAAGGCCTTCAATTATTGCGGTATAAAATATGGTCCAATATACCACACACTCGGAAACGAAGCTGTCTGTTTCTATCACGAAATGGAAAAAAAACCCAATAACTAATAAATGACTATGATTTTGTTTTAAGCGAATTTCAAAGGTGTAAAGTACACCGCCCGATTTATGACATGAAACTAATAATATAATGAATAATAAAACTATAACAAATAATATGAGACACGGCCCATTGTCTATATTAGAACACTTCTCATTGAGTAACAAAGTCGTAATTTTTCATTTTTGTCAAAAAGTGTCTATAGTGTGGTGAATTATGGTTTAGGTTTTTTTTAATAAAGTTTTAAAAATTTCTATGTATGTGGAAAATGTAGTTGATTACCAAAGGTTACAATTTTTATTTTGAAGACTGCATGGTCTAGGAAGTGTACAGTTTTTTATGGGGCAAGTTTCCAAGGGCGGGTTTGCTAGGGGCGAGTTGACTGCCAAAGAGTGTTGCAGCCGTGACGTCACGACAATAGATAGAGACGTTAACCAGTTGTGCGAGATATCGGCTGAGATTTGTGGAGTACAATTCAAAAAACAACTAGGTCTAATAATGAATTATTGTGATATTAAATAGACAATGTTAGCTATCAAAGAGTGACGTTGTTTTTCATTGGGACCTTCGTCCCTTCAAGGCTAGGCCTATACCATCCTAGCTAGTCTAGGCCTAGAGTAGGATAAGGCTAGCGCGACATGC